CAGGATGCTAACCCAAAGATCCGTAGCGGTGAGGTGCCCCGCTACACTGGCATGGTGGATTGCGCTCAGCGCATCATGAAGGAGCAGGGCTTCAAGCGCTTCTGGGATGGCAACCTGACGAACTGCATCCGTTACTTCCCGACCCAGGCCTTCAACCTGGCCTTCAAGGACACATTCAAGAAGATGTTCCCGAAGTACAACCCCAAGACTGAGTTTTGGCAGTTCTTCGGCGCCAATCTGGTGTCGGGAGGTTTGGCAGCCGCTGCCAGCATGACCATCGTGTACCCGCTGGACTACGCCCGGACGCGCTTGGCTTCGGACGTGGGCTCCGGCAAGAAGACCTTCACCGGACTGGGCGACTGCATCGTGAAGACAGTGCAGGGCCCTGGAGGCTTCTTCGCGCTCTACACCGGCTTCGGCGTCTCCGTGTGCGGCATCATTGGTTACCGCGGCTTGCAGCTGGGCACCTTCGACACCATCACTGGCCTGAACCCCTACAAGAAGGACAAGGGCATTTTGGGAGCCGTGAGCACCTTCGCCGCCGCCCAGACCGCCATCACCATCGGTGCGGGTGCCACCTACCCCTTCGACACCGTGCGACGACGCCTGCAGATGCAGTCCGAGAAGCCTCCAGAGGAGCACATCTACAAGGGAACCATGGACTGCTTCAAGAAGATCGCCGCGGAGGAGGGCCGCGGCCTTGGCGGGTACGCGAGCAGGTAGCACCCATAGTACATGTGGAGCACAGCCATGCCGTAGGCAGCGTTCACGTGCCGAGGCATGGTTGCCGGCCTCTACAAGGGCTTCCTGGCCAACGTCGTGCGCAGCGTGGGCGGCGCACTGGTGCTGGCGCAGGGCCGAGTCAAGGGAACAACATTTACACTTTCAGTCTGCTTTCGCGGTCACTGCATCAGATTTCAGCTGTGGGCATGCCGCAAGCCTGCCACAACGGAGGTGCTTTACGACCGCGCAAAGATGTACCTCAACCTTTGAGTCTGATGTGCCTTGGCAATGCTAGGGAAGCGGAGGGTTATTTCGACACATGGATGGGTTTCTGACAGCGCATAGCAGCCATCATTTTCAAGACAGTTCAAGACAGGGGATGCTGTCCGGCTTTGCGTTGCCTTTGTGACAGTGACAACCGATTTTGTGCTGTCTCAAAGTCGGGCTTCAGGCTATGAGTTTCGGCACATGGTTAAGCTTGC